CCCCAAAACCCCAAAACCCCATGTACCAATTTTTGCTATTTAAAATAGCGTAATCTAAAAATAATTTCTATTAATCTAAATTATCTGGATAAATTATATTTCGGCTAAGAAATCAATTCTTTTTATTGCTTTTCAAAAGCCCACTTGATATCAAACTCTCTGCCATCTCAATAATAGCCTCGGTAGCAAGTTTGTACTCAAGTCCCAGAATACTCTTAGACTTTGAGTTGTCTAGTTGAAAGTCTACACCCCAATATCCAATCAGTTTATTTGCTGATGCATCAAACCATGAAGCAATCTTCATTGTGCAATATTTTATCTCTGAGGTATTAATTTTGAAGCCCTCAGGATATTTTGCAGCTAAGGTTAAAATGATGTCCTTAAACCACAAACTTCTATCACAGACTATGAATCTCTGATTGGCGGCTTCCTTGACTTATATTGCTCTTAGGTGAGCCAAGGCTACATCTCTGACATCAACAATGGGCATAAGAATCTTGGGAGCTCCTGGAATTTAACCAGTCATGATTTTCCTAATTATCAAGCCAGAGGAGAAATCAGTTTGGACAAGAGATGGTCCTAAGACAAAGGCAGGGTTTATTACTACCATCTCAAATTTCTCATCCTCTGAAAGCTTTGAATGAAAATCCCAAGCAGCTCTTTCAGCTAGAGTCTTGCTCTTGTCATACGGAGCACAAATAGTAGGATCAGACCAGTCATTCTCATTAAATACTGGCTTGTAATTCTGTCGCTGCTGAATGCACATGGTTAAAGAGGTTGAAGTAATGACTACCCTTTTGATTCGGTGCTTAACACATGAGTTTAAAATAGACAGAGTTCCTTCAACAGCTGGTTTAATTAGAACATTCTCATCTTTAGGAGGAGTTGCAGGGAGTGGGGATGCTGTGTGAACAACAAAATCGCACCCTTCTACAGCTTGATCTAGAGATTGTGGATCTAGAAGATTTGCTTCGAATAGCTCTAACTAACTAAAGTTATCACCAAATGCTTGCTTGATTGGATTTATCTTTGATTCATCGTTTTTACTCCTCACTGTGCCTCTCACAATATAACCCCCATCCTCAAGGAACAGTTTGCAGACTTGAGAACCTACAAATCCTGTTATTCCTGTGATTAACACCATTGGCTTTCTTATTTCCATCAATTAAATATTTATAATTAATAAAA